AGATTGTGTTCTGCAAAATTTACCACCCGAGCATCTATGAAGTAGTAGGAATGCACTATTCAATTCTTGTAGGTTGGTGCAAGGGTGATCGATCTGTTGCTTTTCATCATATGGCATTGTTTTGGGGCCCAATTTCAGTTCAAATTCAGCTGTGGCTCATCATTATCACAAGATGAAAACCCACAATTACTATAATTGTTAGATCTTAGGCAAAATGGAAAGAAATGAAAGAAAAAAACGAGAAGTGCTGTTGGCAATGCACACTTGATGTACTTCATTCAAAATCAGGTTGACGCTGAACTACATGTCAACGTTGATTGAGCATGCTCCACTCGTATTTTTGAATCTATAAAAACAGTGGAAAGACACGCACAACGATCAACTCATCAACACTAGTTGAACATGCTCACAAGGAGCCTCCATTATCACTTCTATATTTTAGTTTCTAAAAACAATGTAAGACATCAAATGCCAGGCAACCTGAACAGCCGTTCCTACCCTTGTCCCTTAACTTGTATTTCCGTACTACATCACATTCAGTATCAACCACCATACTAATTTTTAAGGCCACGCCATCGCTACCTACCACCTTTGAAGTCATGCACGACTGCCTCTGCAAGACCACGATTCTCATCTTACTAGAACACCATTGCAAGCCATCACCTCTTTCTTAATGCTCTCCTGTAGAGTCAGTGTCACGAGAGGAGCTCTCCAATGTAGAACAAGAATTTTTAGCATTGCTTTTTACTAACAGAGGGTTTTGAAAATTTCCACAAAACACCACTGTTTAGTTTCTTGTGTCAATTATTTGGACTGTCTGGACAATAATTTAGCCTGAAAAAATTTCAATGCTTCTAAGTTAAATCACATCTCCTCATGTATTCTCATAGTGCAGTAGAAAATATGATGCTGTTAAAATTTGTTGACTTCTTAGCATTTAGAGATGCTGCTTTGTACAGAACCCAAGTCCGTTTAAATGATTCATGACTCGTGAGCATGTAAAGTAATCTAAGTGGAGAATAGTTGCTATGAACTCTATCCATCATAATGAGCAAAACAAATGAAGACAATGTAACTGACCATTGTTTATTCCCATGTTTCAGATATATGGAGCTGTTACAATGAACAATGTATTGTGTCTGTCAGTGTTCTTGGCCATTGTTTATGTGAGAGGACTAATCTGGGACTTCTCGTCCGAAGTGTTGATTATTTTGATTGTGTGCATTGTGATGGGAGTCTTCGCCAGCACTCGCACAACTTTTCGCCTTTGGACTTCTCTAATTGCTTTCCTGCTGTACCCGTTTTCTCTGGCACTCGTATATGTTCTTGATTACGTGTTTGGTTGGTCTTAAGAGCCATTCTGGGAGCAATGTATCAACAGTCTCGTTGAGGTAATGAGTGAAATTTTAGTTCATATGGACTCATGCTGTCTAGTTGTAATTGTCGTATTTATCAATTTCAGCTTGGCGTGATCATATATTGTATTTGACGCGTGTTCATTTATTCTATCTTCCTACTCTTACTGTTGATTTCTACTTCACTGTGTTACTCGACTTACTGTTAATTTGAATTGGGCAATTGATTTTTTATTTTACTTTTCCATTTAGACGAAAATAAACATTAAGCAAGAATTACAATTTATAAATAGATTGAGCGACATAATTGGCTCATAAAATTTTGAAAGTTGACACGAATTGGAATTTGTTATAAATTTAAAGCATCTTCAATAAATTTTATGTATTGTTATCTGGTTGGAGTTCCGAGTAGTGAGAAATCTACGTTTCATTGGTGTCATTAATAGATACTCGAGTCTAAAATTGCCTTGAATATGCTCTACCAAACACTCCATTACGGTGTCCGGATGTCATTTAAAAACTTAAAAATAGAAAAATATAAATTTTGTAGAGTCAGTTATGTATCTAGATGGAGCTCTAGTAAGAATTTATTTTTTTCTTTGGTCGCAACAGCTAGACAAAGTTCCTATTAAGTTGGGAACCCATTTCGATTATATGGCAAAACTCTTCGACAAAATCCACCGAAGCATTGGGGATTTAAAGATCCATTTGAAAAGTCAGAAAGATGTGAGCAAATCTCTATAATTTTAGACTGAGATCAACTGGTTCTGTTATTTTACCAATGCCATCCCTGGCATTGATTGTTGCCTGGTCAATTTGCATCTTAGTAGGGAAGAAGCTAAAAGGAGGTTGTTCTATTGATTGACTTGGTCCTGGCCTTTGGATCACGTCTTTGGTGAATTCCTATAACAATGGAACAGGCCAGAAAAATTAACTCAGAGACCATCATACGAAACAATTCGACCTAACACAAAGCAGTAAATAGAATCAAAAGATGCACAGAATGTAAATAATTTTTGTTGCATACCTGACTGGACGGACACCCAGACCCAATTAATTCCTCGTCCTGGTAGCCTGAATATGCCGGAGGATGCTTGCTTTTTAAGTGCAAAGGCTGGGTAGCAGGGGCAGGAGGAGCCAATGTGAGAAAGTCGCCAATCAGTTCTTTGTTTTCTCTGATTACACCGCTAGCATTTTGCTCGGGCAGGGGACTTGTGTTTGGAGGGTCATCTCTGCAAAAGCAGTTCAAGAAACTGTCAGCATAAATAAAAAAATGCCGACTTAGTATTTCTTGATATTGAGGAACAATGTGTCGACAGTAAATGAACCTGATATATTTATTGCATGGTTCGAGATGATTTGTGCATCCATTGCTACATGAAGCTGATTCATCTGACCGGGATATTGAAGTATAATACGTAGGTTGAGATTTGTAATGACAAGAAGGGGCTGTTGGACTTTCTAGAGAGAAGGGATATGACCTTTTCATGCCACCCATCTACATTGCATCAAAACCTATTCAGATATTGCTATTGAAAACTGTCAGACCTACTCAATCTTATTAGAATAAATGAAGGAAACTGAAGTTCATAAAAATCCACCATTTTAAAATGATCGCTTTGCATGATTTTTGAAAGAATAGTCACTACAAGTCTACAATAATGATGAAAGAAACGAAACATATAACACGTCAGTACATGAACAAATCCTAAAAAGTCCAGGTTTCATACTCAAATTACTACAAAACTAGAACTTTCTTCTGAAGGCAAATCAGATTAAACTATCCTGCTTTATCACATGAAATCCTCTGATGGAAATTTAGTATGTTCTGCCAGGTTTCAGTCCGTGAAACAAATTAGTCTTCTTGTTTATATAAGTGAATGCAAAAATAGGGATACCTTCTCTTCCAAGGGTTCATGTTGTCGGAAATTCGACTAACACAATCAAAAGAACAAATAAAATAAGCAGAAAATAGAAAAAAGTAAATGAAGCGAGGTATGCCAATAAGATAAGCAAATCTCCTTAAGACAGATTTCGCCCTCCAATAAAGTGCAAACGGGATTATGGACGTCTGTCTCCCAAGATACAACGCTTCTTCCAAAGTCGATACTGCACAATACCAACCTTGTCGGTCGAACCAATGAATGATCGTATATAAGAGAATTTTTTTTAGAGTAGAATATGGAGAGAGAAGAATTTAGAAATCAATTGAATTCGTAATTGATTTGGTGAATCAAAAACGAATCTGCGGGTCTCTTTTTATAGAGATTGAAGTGTCTCATGGAATAGGTGTGTGACATTTCAGGAACTGGTGCACCACTTGGTCTGATTCGTCTTAACCATTGGATATCACTATTTTCATGATCTGACGGCCCAGATTGAACCATGAAGTGAAGTGTCCATTCATCATGTCTATTCACCAATTTCTGAACAGTCACAGCCATGCGGATGCCACGCGTACATCTAACCGCCACGCAGGACGAAGGGACGCGACCTACCACTCGTGCGCCACCTAGAATGCCAACTTACCGAGCCTTGTGCTACCACGTCATTGAACCACGAGTCCATTTAAGAAAATTATAAGGCTCCCCAGCTCCTCGCGACGATGCGTACGTGCGAAGTGCCAAGTGCGCCTCTAAAGCGCCCAATGCGTACTTTGTGACGTGCCGGGACCGAGACTGGGTCCAGGTCCGGGTCCGAGGAGCGGTGCGAAGCACCACTCTAGTGGTGACTAACCTTTGGCTAGCTAAAGTTAGCCAAGTGGTAGGTAACTTATTAAATTATATATTAATTACACAACCCACTATATAAACAAGACTATTTTCTTGTAAACTTTTGATGTGGGACTCATTTCCATATAAAAAAAACACTTAAAATGTGCTTATCAACATATGGACCTATATTGGAGACTTTTCCAATTCACCCAAATTAATTGCAATGGCCCACATCATTAAATATTACATTTAGTTATTTTAAACCTAACTCAAATTCAATTAATTCCAACAATCCCCCACATGAATGGAAGAAGTTGACTCAAATCAAGGAAGACGGAAGAAGAGTATTAGCTGAAAGATAACGCATCAAGATAGGTAGCTTTCGATTTGAACCTTCTTTAGTAAGAATCTATCGAATTCACTTGACTAATCAGTGAACGCAACGTTTTGAACTGTCAGCCGTTATTGCAAGACAATAGATCAAACACATTATCTCTCATATCAAACTTGGTTCTCTATTGAGTTCATTTTTTCGGCCCTGAACTACTTGGGTTCTGCGAGTGCTTTAGAGAATTCGCCTAAGTAAATTCTCATAGAACCGGCCAAGTTCGCACTAACATAGGTGATGTACTATAAAGAGTACCCTACTGTAATTATTTGTACCATTTATAGTCATCATTAAAAGCAAAGCTTATCCTTAATACACTTCATAGTCAGCACTTTTTGCATCATAGAAATAGGAAGGAGTTAAACTCCTAAATGCTTCGTATCGAGTCATTCATAATTAGTTTTCCTATTGAACCTAGTCCATGGGATCTCCAGTTGCCAGGTTAGGTTTCCACTAAGATGACTCATTGGGTTTTAGGCTCTAAACCCATTTCCCTCGATGCGCAGTCTATACGCTTTCTAGATAACCCTTTAGTAAACGGATCCGCTAGTTTTTCTTTTGACTTAACAAAATCAATTGATATTGTTCCATTTGAGAGCAATTGCCGAACGGTGTTATGTCTACGACGTATATGTCTTGACTTCCCGTTATACTCAAAATTTTCAGCTCTGGCTATTGTGGCCTGGTTATCGCAATGAATACAAATAGCCGGTACAGGCTTTGGACATATAGGAATATCTTCTATGAAATGTCTTAACCATTCTGCTTCTTCTCCTGCTTTGTCTAAAGCAATAAACTCAGATTCCATAGTAGATCGAGCTATACACGTTTGCTTAGAAGATTTCCATGATATAGCACCACCGTCGAGAGTAAATACATAGCCACTGGTAGACTTTGACTCGTCTGTATCTAATATCCAATTGGCATCACTATATCCTTCAATTACTGGAGGATATTTTCCATAATGTAATGAATACTCTCTGGTCCGTTTCAAGTATCCCAAAACTCTAAGTAATGCATCCCAATGTTGATTACTTGGGTTACTTGTGTAACGACTCAGCTTACTTACCGCGTAAGCTATATCAGGTCTTGTACAATTCATCAGGTACATTAAACTACCAATAATTTGGGAATATTCTAACTGCTGTTTCCCATTTCCACTATTCTTGTGAAGAACTATATGTGGAAGAAATGGGTTACTCGTCTCTTTAATATTATGAGTCTTAAACCTCTCAATTATTTTATCAACATAATGGGTTTGAGATAAGACTATTCCATTTGATGTTCTATATATCTTTATTCCTAAAATCACGTCTGCTTCACCCATATCTTTCATGTCAAAGTTATTGGTAAGTATATTCTTTGTTCTATTGATGACTTCTATATTAGTCCCTAATATAAGCATGTCATCAACATACAAACAGACGAGTACGTATGCCTTTTCGAATTTTTTCGAATATACGCATTTGTCACATCCATTTATGACGAATCCATTCCTAATCATGACGCTGTCAAACTTTTCGTGCCATTGTTTAGGAGCTTGCTTCAAACTGTATAAGGACTTAACTAGTTTGCAAACTTTGTTCTCTTGTCCTTTTACTATGAAACCTTCTGGCTGTTCCATATATACTTCTTTGTTTAAATCACCATTCAGGAATGCAGTCTTAACATCCATTTGATGTATTTGTAAGTTGTATAAGACTGCAATAGCAATTAAAACCCGAATAGAAGTAATTCTTGTTACTGGAGAATATGTGTCAAAGAAATCAATTCCTTCTTTCTGACGATATCCTTTTGCAACCAGTCGAGCCTTTTATTTGTCTATTGAACCATCGGATCTTAACTTTCTTTTAAAGATCCATTTGCATCCTATTGGTTTAGTTCCCTTAGGAAGATCAACCAATTGCCAAGTATTATTATTCATACTAGATTCAATTTCACTATTTATAGCTTCCTTCCAGAATACGGATTCTGGACTAGTCACAGCTTCTTTAAATGTTTGGGGCTCTTTCTCAATTACGAAAGAAATAAAGTCTGGACCAAAGGATTTAGCTACCTTTGCTCTTTTACTCCTTGATTCAGGTTCTATATTGTTTTTAATAGCATTATCTCGTGTTCTCTTTTGAGTATTCTCACTAATATCTCTTTAATTAGGGAACACATCTTCAAAGAATTCAGCATCTCGAGATTCAAAAATTGTATTGACATGAATGTCACTTATATCAGATATTATGCACAAGAAATCTGTACGCACTACTATTTATGGCATATCCGATAAAAATGCAATCAATAGTTTTAGGGCCTAACTTAATCCTTTTGGGAGGTGGAATAGCCACTTTAGCTAGGCACCCCCACACTTTTAAGTATTTATAG